CCTTTGCGTAGTCAATAAAGCACAGGTAAATATCCTTCTGATATTCTCTGCTTTCAGCATCAGACATTAGCAATGATCTCTCGTTCCACGGCCTCTTCTGAATCCAGCTTGAACCTCTAGAAGTTCTCTGTCAATGTATGATTGTAGCCGTTTCATAAGATCGCTCTAGCATAGGTGTAAAAGGAGCCCTGGTGGTGCAGTGGGTTATGTGCTGGGCTGCTAACTGTAAGGTCAGCAGTTCGAATCCACCAGCCACTCCTCAGGAGATAGATGAGGCTTTCTGCTCTGTAACAATACATAACCTCAGAAACCCTATACAGGGTGGCTAGGAGTTGGAACCAACTCAACAACACAGCAGCAGCAACAGCAACGTAGCTGTGAAGAATAGAAACAGCAGGGAGCAGCAAAGCTAGAGGCTGGGAGACCAGTCAGGAGGCTGTGACATTAAATGAGATGTTAGCTGAAAGTCAGTTTAAAACAGTGCTAAAGACAGCAAACCCACCAGTTACTTTTCGGGGGAGGGGAGGACACAGCAATGAAAACACCACCTATCTGTGATGGATGATTCTTTAGTGGCTTCCAATAATCACACCTACTGCTACTACAACCCTTATGAATTCCCCCTCTCCTTCAATATGGTATGGCCCTGTGATTTAATTTCAACATCAGAACGTGACAGACACGTTAGTGTGCCAGTTCTGGGCCTAAGCCTTTAGAAAGCTTGGCAGCATCCACTTCTGGGCTCTAGGGGAAGATAACTACCATGCAAAAAGCACAGCTGCCATAGACCACCATGATGTGAGAAGTCAGAAGCAGTCATGTGGAGAGACCATAAGGAAGAGAACCAAGGCCCCAGCTAATAGCCCAGCTGAGCTTCCAGCTGCCAGTCAGCCGTGTGAAGTGAGGCCATCTTGAAAGTGGCTCTTCCAGGCCCACTGAGCCACCCTGGTTGACAAAGGTGGAGCAGAGACAATTTGTCTCTGTTGAGTCCTGCCCAAATTGCAGGATCATGAACAAATAAATAAAACCGTTTGTCCTTTAAGTCATTAAGTTTGTTAAATGGCAACAAATGACTGAATCAAAGGTCTACGAGTATATTTTTTCTTAACTCTATGATTACTGCTGAAGATCAAAGACTATGCTATCATGTCCACAGTAAAGTGGAAGGTCAATGAAAAAGAAGACGCCCAACATTGACACAGCGGCTGCAACAATGGGCTCAAACTTAACAACTGTGATGACAGTGCAGGACTGTATTGTGTTAACAGTTGCTGTGAGTTGGTAGTAACTCAATGGTATCTAACAACAAAAGAACAATGTGATGTGCTAATAATTAGCATACCAGTGGAATGGTGCTTATTATCAACACAACACCCAGCATTGCCTCACCTGAACAGCATCCCCACTGAAGACGCCATCAATTATGAAATATGTCCAGAACACAGGCCACTCACATTCAATGTTTTCAAAGAGTTTGAGTTCTGCAGGATCATAATGCAATCGGTTTGGGTCCTGGAATCAAACAGAATGTACATGTTCTAATGGGCGCTGTCAGAGTTCATTCCTGATACCACTGTACCCTTCCCTGTCTGACCCAATGCAGTCTTCAGGTTGATATGATTAGGAAGATTCTCCTGTAAGTGGGAAGACACTATTGCTCGCAATTTTCCATGGTAACATTTCAGCAAAGTAAATCCAGGATATATACAAGACTCCTTATTATATTATGGTGTCGGAGGTTCAAGCTCACCAGCCACTCCTCAGAAACCCTATACAGGGTTTCTGTGAGCCAGAACCAACTCGACAGCACTTAACAATTGTTATTGTTAAGTACCGTGGAGTCGGCTCCGACTCATAGTGACCCTGCACAGGGTTTTTGAGGCTGTAAATCTTTACGGGAGCAGAACGCCTCATCTTTCTCCCGAGGAACCGCTGGTAGTTTCAAACTGCTGACCTTGAGGTTGGCAGACTGACTCATAACCACTACGCTACCAGGGCTCCTGTGCTGCAGAATAAGCACTGGACTGAAAGATCAGTTTGAAAAACAAGGGCGGTGGTTCTAAAATCACCAGCCTCTCCTAGGAAACCCTATGCAGGTTTGCTATGTGTCGGAATTGACTCAACAGCACCTAACAACAACATACAAATAAACTGCAATTTGCCTCAGAGTGTTTGGCAAGATGTCTGCTTTATTTATACCATTATATTTGTCAAGCTAGCAAAGAAACCCAAGAAGGAAGCTATGATTGGTTTGTAAAAACAAAAAAAAAATGTACTGAACCATAGAATTGATTGTCCTTGTCTACAAGAAGGTTTGATACTACTAGTGTGCTGTCCTCTTGATAATCTTACTATCCTATTGCCTGACTCCAAAATTAATACTTCCCATTTCAATATTCCAATATATCATTCTAATCAATAGAGGGAGAAGAAAACAGGAGCAACTTAGACATAACGTTGCTAATGGATCATAAGAAGCAATCTTTAAACACAACCTCTCTCGGGGTTTTATAGCCATCTCGAAGGAAGCGGCAGCATCCATAACGGCCCTGGTAAGAGAAAGAAATAAAATGCATTACATGTGGGTAAATAAGAAGCATCTGCCTTTGAATTTTAATGCCAGTCTTTCATCTTCTTTCCACTGAATCTTTCAGTAAATGAAATTTGTATTTATTTATTCTTTGCTATCAGTACAGAGTTCTTTTTTAGGTAATAAGCAAAGTAAATTCAGATTTGATTAGTATGTGGAAGGGAATGCCAACACACTCCATTACAGCCCTCGGGGGTGACTGGCCATCTTCCCGTCCAACTCACTGAATCATACAGAGACACCGGGGACCTCACTGCTAGTCACCAAGGCAGATACTAGGATTCACTTTCTTGGCCATTCCCCAGGTGCCTTGCAGTCAGCTGCACTCCCAAGAGAACTTGCCAGGGAGGGAAGGAGGGGGTTCCTGCAGCTTAGGACTAATACTGCTCGTTTTCTGGCTGCAGGCTCCCTTTGTGTTCTTCAAGTTTTGACTCACATCAACTCTGTATAGGGTTTCCAAAGAGTGGCTAAGAGGTCTGAACCACCAAACTTGTGGTTAGCAGTTCAGGACTTATCCTACAGTGCCACACCAAGACTTCTCTTCAGCTTGTTGTTGTTGTTGTTAACTGCCATTGACTCGGTTCTGACTCTTAGCAACCCTGTAAAGGGTTTTTGAGGAGTGGTTGGTGAGTCTGAACCATCAGCCTTGTGGATCAAACCGGCCTTGCGGTCCAGCGCTTATCCTATAGTGCCACACCAGGACTCTTCGGCTGACTGGGTGTTAAAACAAGGGCGGGGGGGAAAGCTTCTGAAGTGCATTGTGGAAAAAGCAGCAGCACCCCTAGTGGACAGTTACATATAGACTCATCACAGGAGGCTCTGCCTAGGAAGTCTGGTAAAGGCTTCAACCGCTTCAAACCCACCAGCTGCTCCTCAGGAGAAAAATGAGGCTGGCTGCTCGGGGAAAGACTTACAGTCTTGGAAACCCTATACAGGTCATCATGTATCAGAAATGACTTGACAGCAGTGGAGTGGCTTTGGGGTTTGGTTTTGACGAGAATTAGGAAACTTGAATAAGAATAAGGGTAAGCCACAAGGTTGGTAGTTCAAATCCTGGGGAGAAACATGAGGCTTTCTGATCTAGTAAAGATTTATAGTCTCAGAAACCCTGTATAAGGTCACTATGAGTCAGAATTGACTTGATTGCAGTGGGCTTAGTTTTGTTTTTTGCTGTGCGGCACTGTAGGGTAAAATACTGGACCACAATGTCAGTTTGAACCACAAGGTCAATGGTTCAAACTCACCAGCCGCTTCTCAGAAACACTATACTGGGTCACTATGAGTCGGAACCAATTCAATGGCACTTAACAACAACAAATCTAATGAGGTTTCTTTTTCTCCACCAAACCCTGACTGCTGCCTTCATCTTGGGATGTGATTGGTGATAGCATCTTTCATTGAATCAAGCTTCAGTATAGACTTCAGCTTAGAAAATCTATGTTCTTTGATCATTTCAGTTGGCTGAAATTATTACTAACGCTTTCAGTTTAGGGTAATGTGTCAGAGTTACTGCATTCCACCTTAGAGCAGAGAGTTTAACCTCAATTAAACTATGGGATCACCAAGTTTGAGGCAACTGGGATATGTGTGTGCTTTCTATCAGCAACTCCACAGCTTGCAGGAGGTTTTCAAAGGGGCCTGTCGGTGATCTCTAAGGGGTTAAGAAGCGCTGCCTGAGATGGAAAGCAGTGGTAGGACCTGGAATTCAATGGTGCAGCCTTGAGTTCAAGCTCAGCTAGTTTGGAACAGAAAACCAAGTCTTGTCACCTCTTGGAGACTTCTGTAGACTCAGCTGTGTATACCGCGCTCCTCGAGTCCACTTAGAACTGAAGCTCTTAGCCTCACGGAGCCCCAAGGCCTGGATGAGCTGTTGCATGTCCTCATGGGAAAGCAGCACTTAGCAGGGGCAGCCAGGTACCAGCCCAACCCACACTTACCTGGAGCTTGGAAATAATTTCATCTTTGGTCACATTCACAAGGTTCCCATCTTCCACTGCAAAGGCTGGGAAGGAAATAATGGACAGCAGCCCAGCATCGATCTCTTTAGAGGTCGACGCTCTTGGTAGCATGGAGAACAGGATGGACTGAAAGAAAACCAGAGGTGGCTGGAATCGGCTGGCATACAAATGGTTAAGATACAGTATCTAGAGACCGTGACTCACTCACAAGAACTTTTCCAATTGTGAGTCAAGCTTGGTCCTAACAACACGGCCCTTGCAGAGGCCTCGCCTGGTCAGCCAATGATTCCTGCTCCTTGGGGAGAAGAAAGGGATCAGGGAGTGCCCTGTACTGCCTGGAGCCTGTGCTTTTCTCCCTTCCTTCCAGGCCCTCTGTTGATGTTGTGGGCCTTTTTTGAAATGAGTTTGTGTAGCTCTCCAGGACTACCAATGTCGGCAGGTTAAAGAACAGAGAGACCAGGAAGAACATCCATACGGATAAGCAGAAGAAATGTCTAGCTTCTGTGGAACATAACCAGCTGGATTGGGCGGGTTGAAAATCACTTAAAGTAGTCAAACTCCAGAAGCCCCATGAACGCACAGCAAAATTATAATCAAAGTTAAGCTCTAGAAAAGAATGGTTACTTAGCAACACTATCATATGGCCTCAATTACAAGATAGTCAGATTAGGTAATCTTAAACTAAAGATAAGCTGGAACTATATGAGAGGGAGCTCAGACTGAAATCTAACATGGATAGACATGGGGTTGTTGTTGTTAAATGCCGTCAAGTCAGTTCAGACTCAGAGACCCTGGTACAGGGTTTCCAAGGAGCGATATCCAGCTGGTGAGTCTGAACTGCCAACTTTGTGGATAGCAATCCAGTGCTTATCCTACAGTGGGTATTACATTCAATTCACATGTGAGGACTCTAGCCTCAGACAGAGACTGGTGCCCTACGGTACACAACTGACAAGTGACAGACCAGGATCCTAACCCGGGTCCACAGGCCACAAAGCTCATGCAATTTCCACTGGACTGAACAACATTCTGATCAACAGAGAAAAGACTGAAGTTGTCAAGGACTTCATTCTTCTTGGATCAACTATCAACATTCATGGAAACAGCAGTCAAGAGATCAAACGACGTATTATTTCATTAGGCAAATCTGCTGCACAGGAACTTTTTAAAGTGTTGAAGCACAAAGACGTTACCTTGAGGACTAAGGTGCGCCTGACCCAAGCCATGGTATTTTCAATAACCTCATATGCATGTGAAAGCTGGACAATGAATAAGGGAGATTGTAGAAGAATTGATGCCTTTGAGTTATGGTGTTGGAGGAGAATACTGGAAGTGCCATGGGCTGCCAAAAGAAGCAACAGATCCATTTTGGAAGAAGTGCAGCCAGGATGGCCAGGCTTCATCTCTCATACTTCGGACATGTTGTCAAAAGGGACCAGTCGCTGGAGAAGGATATCATTATTGGTAAAGGGGAGGCTCAGAGAAAAAGAGGGAGACCTCCAACGAGATGGACTGGCCAAGTGGCAGCATCAATGGACTCAAGCGTGCAATGGTAATGAGGTTGGCCCAGGATCGGGCAGTGTTTCCTTCTGCTGTGCATAGGGTCACTATGAGTCGGTACCAACTCGATGGAACCTAACAACAAGAACAACAACACATCTATTAGGAGTCCTGGTATGGTGCCGCAGGATAATACACTGGACCGCAGTTCAAACCCACCAGCCACTCCTTGGAAACCATATACAGGATCGCTATGAGTTGGAATCACCTCAACAGCACTTAACAGCAAACACATCTGTTAAGACACACACTAGCCTGACTCTATTAAACTCCTCCCCTAAGAAATAGCAGACTCCCCATTAAGGACTATGTAATAGGGAAAATGGATTATGCTGGAGGGCAGGGAGAAGATGGGTAGAACACTTCAGTTGAGATTAAAGCATCTTTTTCTCCAGCTTGTCCCTCTCTGCTGGAGACAGGCACCTGCATCCACTGGAAGATCTCCATTTGGAGGTTTTGTATCAGACTCCCTTTGAGTCTAGCACAGTATCTGGCTGTTTAATGGAGCCCCCAGGATGGACCAAATCACTCCGTTCTCTGTTCTGCATTTTATATGAGGTTCTATGAGAGGGCTGCAAATCATGTGTGGAAAAACAGAATCGAAAAATAATGGAAGTTTTTCATGAACTTTCTGAAACCCTTACGTATTAGTTTGCCATTTCTCTCATCCATCCCTCTAACACCAATTCCACTCCTGCCCAATCCACCAGTCACCCCCCACCCCATGCCCTGCCCCTCACCACGTGAGCTGTGCTTGCTAGTCATTTAATTAGGAGCATTGCGAAATAAACCTGTAGGAAAGCCACCTGTTTTCAAATTTTGCCTCCAGCAAAGCACAGTTGCTGTGACAGCTGGTTCTATACATACATCAGAGGGTCTATGTTTGCATAGGACTTTCGGCATTACCAAGCCGATCCTTACAAACACCTTGTGAAGCAGGGGCAGGGCGCAGGGGGAAGGCCCTATATATGAGGAAACTGAAGGTCGAAGAACCCAAGTGCCACCAAGCTAGAAAGGTGGGGAATCTGAGCTAGAGCCACTTGAGAACTCCACTTCCCTATTCTCTGGAATGAGGAGCCATGGTAGCACAGTGATTAAGCTCTCAGCTGCTAACGGCAAGGTCAGAAGTTTGAACCCACCAGCTGCTTTGTGGGAGAGAGCCATCTGCTCCCATGAAAACTGCAGCCTGGGAAACCCTGTGGGTCAGCTCTTACATTGTCCTATAGAGTTGCTATGAGTCTGGAACACAAGAGACGAACTTGTTACCTGGCAGTGCTCAACCTCATCTGGCAGGACATGGACCACCGACTTGCGTCCTCCATGAGCGCCGAAAAGGTCCAGTTCATCAATGGCCTCAAGTGCTGCCTACAAGCACAGGTATGTGTTATTTTTTTCTTTCTAGTAAATGTGCACTCCCATATCTGTACTCCTTCTTCACTGAGTAACTTGGCATACATGTTTCACCAAAGATGATGAAACATGTCTCTATAACCTAGTTAAACAGTCCTATCATGTTCTACTATTTACAGAGGACAGGAGGCAGTCCTTTATGCTGCTGCTGCTGCTCCTGACTGCAGGAACAAGAAAGAGAAAATCATTTCCCACAATAAAATGCCTATGTGACCAGAGAATGAAGTCTTAACAACTTCATGGCATTTTGTGCGTGTGTGGTAATAATTAAAGGCATGCTCAGTTTTTCTTTCACTTTATTTTAGCCATTAACTTCTACCATGAGCATATCAGGCACTTTGGAAAGTTCATTCTTTCAGCAATAAGTACACTTTCAGTCTGTTTACCTTAACAGAGGATATTATATATATTGTTTAAACTCCAGCTCTGGATCTTTACTGTGTCCTAAAAAGTACATAAAGCTTGAGAAGGAACGGAGAGGTGGAGGAAGGGAAGGACACCAGCTAAAAGTCTATGGCAAGAGATAGAAACTGAGGGATGGAGACTGCATCTGCCCCACAGCTGTGTTTCGTTTAGCTGGAGAGTACTTTTTAATGATCTGGAATTGAAATACCTTTAGAGAAACTTTAGAGAAACACAGTTGCCAGTACTCCCCTGTCTTTGTGTATCTGGCTGGCTTCACGCATATATACTACTTGCCTACCCCAGACTACAATGTGGTCAAAGTCTTCAGCCCAATTTATGAACCCAAAAGACAGACTGACAGACACCCAGCTTCTGAAAAAACTGCCAGAGCTTCAACCCGCGGGGGATCACAATAGACAGCAAGGAAGGAGGGCACTTATTTTCTGCCACATGCAGACTGCAGCTTAGGAAACCTATATCCTTCAGTCATTTTACCTCTGATTTTCAGCATGCATCACCTGAATTTGCACCCATTTGCTGCTGAGTTTTGAAAACTGTGCTAGTCAGAATAAATACAGATTCCTGATGAAGAAAGCCATAGAAATGCCCAGAACAAACAGGGCAACTGTTACCTTGGCCATTCCAACAGAGCTTGCATTCAATTCTGGTATGCCCTGGTTCGTCTTATCTCCACGTTCCCACATTCCATAATCCTGGGGGAGAAGATGGTGGTAATCAGAGCAGGAGAAAGAGGCAAGGAAAGTGTGCTAAGGAAAAAAACGATCCCTTTATGTTACCAGGCCTTAGGAGCTATGAGGCTCTCTTCACAGACTCCCGAATTCATGGCTTTCCGTACTCATACTATGTGCTGCCTCAATTTCAGTTGATTGACCTCTGGGCAGAACTTTGGAAGTAAATCTACTCAAGTGACATAAAATGCAGGCAAAAACTGCTCTAAAATTCCTTACTCCTAAATGTTACTAATTTGCAAGAATCCCCCGATGTGTAGCAACCAATATTTTATTTTAAGATCAAATAAGGCTCTTTATTTAGCAAATCCCTTTGGGCATGTATTAAATTATAAGATGGACTAAAGAAACTTTAGCTTTCTAAGTCTAACTAGTTGAAGCCAACAAAATCATTTAAAACTATTATCTATTTTTAGCATTACCTCTTGGGGAAAAAAAAAAGTTCAGCAAATAGCTGGAGCCAAAGTCAAAACGGAGGCACAGAACAAGGCACTGCCACTGTATTTGAAAACATGTGTCCCGAACTCTTTTATCTCATATGTTCACTTAAAGGAACACAAACACTTTAAAATAATACCAAATGGATATACATAATGGAAAGATTACAACCTAACAAGCATGGGACCAATGCCAAAAAGTCGGTATATACAAGAGGGCTTCAAAAAGTTCACGGAAACATTCCGTATCTTTTAACTACATTTTTCCATGAACTTTTTGAAACCCCTGGTATATATGTATGTATTTTTATCTCTAAAGATGAACTTTTTCAAAATGTGACCATTTAGACTTACAAAGACCAGAGCAATGTCCAATTCTTCCCAGCCTGGCCTGTAGCTGAGCCCCTTTCCTTGTTTCAACCCCTGAGCCAAGTGACTCATCCTCAAAATCTGTTTGGTCAGCTCATTTCCCTGCTTCGGGGTCTAAAATGACAAACTGCCTCTGCTCCCTGCCCCAACTCCACACCCGACTTTCTTTTCTGCTATTCTCAAGTACTCACCCTTCAGTTTTGTTGTGTGCCACTGAGTCGGTTCTGACTCAAGAGAGTTTCCAAGAAGCTGCTGGTGAGTTTGAATGGTCGACCTTGTGGTTAGCAGTCCAGTGCTTATCCTACAATGCTATGCCAGGTCTGTTCTTCTGCACCCCTTCCTCTCAGGATCCCCAACACATTCTGAACCTGATGCTGCCTCTGGGATGATATTCATGTTGTTCCCCCTTCCAAATGTCCTTTGGCCTTATTCACCCTTCAAGGTCCAGCCCTTTCCATAAAAACACCTCATGTTTCTGTCAACCAGGGTTTGTTTGGCATTTTGGGCCGCATGACTCTTTGCTAGGGCTGTGGGGGTTCCCTGTGCATTGTGGAAGGTTTAGCAGCCTCCCCAGGCTCACCCACTAGATGCCAACAGTACCAACCCCTGCACTTGTGACATCCGGAAATATCTCGAAGTAAACCCACTATTGTCGGGTAGTACCTCCTCACAGTGGCCCTGTCCCCTGGGAGGTAGATGTAGCTCCTGACGGAGAATCACTGCTTTAGACCAAGGGTCAACAAACTATAAGCCTTGGGCCAACTCTAGTTTTGCAAACAGTTTTATTGGCACACAGCCACACTCATTTGTATACGTGTTGTCTATGGCAACTCTGTGCTGTAAAGGCAGAGTCAAGTAGCTGCAACGGTGATGGCCACATGGCCTACCAAGCCTAAAACATTCACCTTCTGACCCCTTCCAGAAAACGCTTGCCAACCCTTGTTTAAACAGCAGTGCTGTTCTGTGTTTAAGCCGTTTTCTACCCATACTACCCTTTTAGTCAGCTTTGCCCAGTTTCATTGTTCTCTAGGAGTCCGGCTCTACCTTCCAAACCTGAGAGTCAGCCGAGAGGAACTGAGTGTTACATACACCTGCACCCCCATTGATCTGGTCACAGGGCCAGGCTCTGGTGCTGGCAGACTGTGTGTGCTAACTGGCTCCCTGCCTGGCTTCACCTTCTTCCTGAAGGCTGGCTGGGGTGACTCTATGGCACTGCACTTCCCACTTAGGCTCGATGTGTTCAATCTCTTCATTTCAGGCTGGCCAACTACATTCCACAGGACATGTTAGGGGCAGGTCTCATTTTAAACAAGCATAATGGATTCAGTGGTTGAAATGAGTTCATTTATGTGGCCTTTCACCTTGGTTCTTTAGAAAAACAAATTGAGAGATTTTTTTTTCCCTCTAAGCCCTGAGAAATTACCTTACAGCATACTGGTTAAAAGTGCTCAAATGATAAATCGGAAAGTCAGCAGTTCAAACTCACCAGCTGCTCTACACAAGAAACATGCGGCAGTCTGTATCTGTGTCCATGTACAGTCTTGGAAACCCGGTCCTTCCTATATGGTCACAATGAGCCAAATTGACTCGACAGCACCTGGGTTCGTTTTTTACTCTAGAGGATTTGTTGCTTTTGTCCAGGTTGATTGACATTTCCTTGGCAAACTGTACACAACTTGATGGCTTAATGCTTTCTCTGTGGCCCTGGGCTGCAACCTGTTCTGTGATTGGTCTACTTTACATACCTTGCAGAGACTAGTCAATACATTTATGCAAATGAAGTGACTGTGGCCTCCTGAGGGTAAGGACTGGTCATTTTGTGGTCCTGATGGGAAGGCCATGCCTTGATACTGACCAGGAGTTTGTTTCTTTGGGCAGCCAACCCCACTGAGGTTGGAAGACAGAAAAAAAAAAAAAAAAAAAACAAAAAACCCACAAAAAACCCAGGAAGAAAGCAGAAAGGCGAAAAAGAAAGGCAAGCCATCAAAGAGGAGGTGAGGAACCTCCTAAAAGACCTGTAACACAGGGACCCTGTGGCAGTCAGTGGGGACAGCAGAAACCTGTAGCTAGGAATGTTGCTGAGAGCGCTGAACAAAACTGCTCCACTAGCTCTGAGTTGGGTCAGTTAGCAGTGGTCAGCTCAAAGGCAGAGAGGCCTGTCCTCAGGTGGCCCAGAGGGAGTATGCACAGCAGAGAGAAGGGCCTGCTTGCTTGCATGACACCAAGAGGAGCTGAAGGAGTTATCCCATTGTTCCTTAGTATTAAAGAATGGAGGGATAGCCTCTTCACTTTGGGGGAAGTCTTCCACACTTGGCCAGCATGCTTCCTGATGCTGAGTTATAGCCTGATCCCGGATTGTACCCTGCTGCTTCCTTAATAAACAGCTTCACTATAAATTCGGTCTGTGAGCTCTGTGTGGCTATTGCAATGGATTATTAAACCCAGAGGAAAGTACATAATGCCAGGGGAGAATTGGTAAAAAGGTTGGAGAGTGGAGGACCATCTGACCTTTGCCTCATAGGAATCAGCCTTGTGCTGGTGGTGATTCTCTCCGCCCCCATCTCCGCCCCTACCCTGGCCCCTGTGAAGCTCGAGGACTTCACACGCTACAGCAACAGTATGCTGGCATAACAAAACGGAGGAATCCCCAAATACCTCCCTGGCTAAAAATGGACACTGTGTATGCTCGGGTGATCGATCTCCTAACACTAAATCTCTTTATGCTCCAGTCAGGCCCACGTGGTCCAGTCCTCAAAGCACTGTATAATTTCTATTCCCTTTCACAACTGGAGCCACTGAGAAGACTACTGGGGATGATACTTACAGCAACTTTATATGCAGCTTCTATGTAAAACACAAGGTTCTGTACGAAGGCCACCTCATCGAGGGTGAAAATAATACGCAAGCCTGGAAAAGAAACAAAAACAAAAACAAAAACACGATGCTGAGGCTATGTGCCAATAGCAATCACACTTGAAAGAATTCCTGCTATTCTCATTTTCACTTTTCCTACCGAGGCACCGAAAATTAAGTCTCCAGGGAGGCTAAGCTCAGATGGACAAAGAAAGAGATGGAGAATGGGAGGGAGAGGGGGAAGAAGAAGAGAAAAATGAAAAGCTATGCTTGCTTATTGCTGCATATGTGTAGAAAAGGCTGACCAAGAAGGTGTAGGGGCTACTGGGGCCTATTAGATTTGACCAAAGAAGGTTCTAGCCAAGCAAAGATTTTAGCCTAAGGAAGCAGCTACTGTTGCTATCTCTGAGTGAGCCAAAAAGTGGGTGCATGGAGGGAAAGACAGCCCCCTCAACTCTACAAGATCGCCCCGTACCGTGGAAAATCCCATTCCCAGAACCTACCCAGCTACACATCAACACACTGATGTCAGCAGCAACCAAGTGCTTGGGTCCTTGAAAGTCCAGGGGGTTATGACAAATGTACATATTTTTAAAAGTATGAGTATGGTAAGGCTGGCGCTCTTACAATACTAGGGGGAGCTTAACTAATAAAATGTTAGGACAACAATTTGCATTATGTATGAAGAGTCTTTGAATCACGTGTATCGGAATGTATGAATAGTCTGAATCACATGTTTCAAAAGGAAGCAAACAGAGATATGATCAACGTTTGGTATCTCAACACTAGCTATAATAGCAACAACAAAAAACCTAACATGAGAAAAAAGGAATACTCAAACAAATTATCCTATATTCATTGATAAAGTCATCAAAATTACATTTATGAAGCACTTCAGGGGAAATGCTCACATTACGATGCTATACCATAACAAGACTGTTTACGTAAACAAGATGACCATAAATATGGAAAATTAACGCTTAGAAAAAGGACTTGTAGTAAACACATCCAAATGAAAACTGGCAGTGGGATCTTCTGTATTTTTTGTTGTTTTCCAAAATATCTACAATGAGCTTATATTCACTTTCTTAGCCAAAGGGTACTTTGTATAAACACAGTGTATTTACTTGACCATAATGTCACTCAGGATGTGTGACCGTCTTGGAGTCTGAAATCAGTGTAAAACCTTGAACTCAGGAGTGTCAGGTCTGTTTACTGCACAGGTAATAAGAATTCAGACACAGCAGCAGGTGACTTAACCCCAGAGGGAGTATCTACACCCGACTGTGTCCTGGGAGAGAGCACTGTGTGTGAAGACAGGCTGCAGCCTGGAGCTCGGTTGCCATTGGAGCTGGTAGCTATGGCTTCCACAGTAACAACACACACGGCGCAGCTACAACAGGCTGGCCACACAAGACTGAGTACACGGGCCAGCTCTGGAAATGACAGTTTGAAGGTAAAGTGGACAAACAGGGTGTGTCCAGAGGAGGGTGACCAGGAGAAAGAGAGCAGAGCTGAAGAGATAGGCTGCTTCTCCGGAGGAGACATTTGGATTGTTGGAGCATGGCGAAACTGAGGTGGCTCCCACAAGTCAGTGAGTGTGCGGGAAGAACAAGATGAGCAAAAAGCAGCTGACAGAGCTGTCTCAATCATCTTCGTCCCACACGTGTCCTTGGTATGCACATCACAGACACAGACGGGGTTCTAGCATTACCTGCCTGTCTGAGAGCCAAAAGCACGGACTAGGATACAGGAGCAGGCTTTTGCTTGACGTAAACAACTGACTAACTGTAAAAACTGACCGACACCCATGCCAGCCCCCTTTCTGGGTTGTCCTTCCCTGCACAACAGGCACAAAGGTCTGCTCACCTGAGGCAGTCATTTGGGCCAGGAAGAGGAGGAAGAGAGAGATGGCATCCACTTGGAGGTGGCCCCACTGGTCATCACCCACCACGGTGCTGCAAGTGGCAGTGTTGTACTTGGCATGCAGGCTGTCCTTGGTACTCTGTGTGTGTTTGAACTTCTCCACCTTCTCCACCTAGGGCAGAAGGCAAGTCAATTCCACACAGCTAAAGGGGTTCGTGGCTGGTTCCAATGCCTGCATCGGGCCTCTTACCTGCTCCCTCCAAAAGCCAAAGGGACAGAGGGCAGCTAATGTTTGCTAGTGAGCTCCACACAGAAGGGCTGTGTTGGGAGTCTTCCAAACCACCCACCAGAAATGTCCCAGCTCTTAGGAGTGACAGGTCATGCCCAAGGGCTTCCTTGTCTTCATCTCCTCAGCTGTGACTTGATAGGAACTCACTGAGAGGATAAGGGAGGGAGACAGGGGAAGGAAAGAAAGAGGGACAATGGATAAACCGTGAAAACACACTGAGTGAAGTGTGTTATCCCACCTACCTGTCTCATCATGCACTGCAGAAGCCCCCGCATCAGTTTCACCACGTTCTGCAGGAAGAAAGTGGTTTGTCACAGGCCGGGTTTCCTGCCCCATGACCACAGCCTTCTTACCTCCACAAGTGCGTTCAGCTGGTGCTGCCGGAGACTTCAGAAGAGGCAGATCCCCAGCATGGACAAGTATTCTGATTGTTTGTGTCATTTCCACTTGTCCACTTCATCACAGAGAAAGAAAAATCTTTGACCAATTAAGTGACTTATCTTAAATTAAGGGACTGTGGACCAGATGGCACCTTCTAGCTCAACAGTACAGTGACTCAGGGACAGTCTGGCAACATAATTTCCCATAATTCCCCTGGGGCTTTATGCCACTATTCTCAGTAATTTCCTTTCATTGTTCTAAGGATGAATTAAGTCCACCCCACCTGCCCAAAAGTACCGATGCTCTGCCAAAATAGGCATTTGTGACATCATTACTGGACTAGTGAGTAAAGCTCATACAAAATGAAAGTGGCAGCCAGTATTACTGAATAATATGATGTACTGAAACCAATTGCTATTACTGCTATTATAAATAATAGGGGGGCAGTTATGTACAATGGAGTCAGTTCTGACTCCTAGCGACCCTGTATAGAGTTACTAAGGCTGTAAATGTTTATGGGAGCAAAAAGTCTCATCTTTCTCCCATGGAACTGCTGGTAGTTTCAAACTGCTGACCACGAGATTCAACAGCCTGAGTTACTCTATTAGGCGTGATGCCTAGGCATTGTATATAGCACTTGATCTGGATTATCTCTATTTCTTGCAACTACTTTAAGAGGTGGAGATGATTCTTACCCCATTTTGTAGAAGAGGAACCTCAGGCTGAGAGAGCTGAAGTAACACTGCTAAAGCAACAGCTGGCAATGGGTGGAGCAAGACCGCCTGTGCACACACTTGGTCTGATTCTAGACTTCCCATTTTTTAGCACCACTGCATGCCACCCTCACTTCTTCCACCATTCAGGCCCATTTAAAGACTGGACTTAGTTTGTTCTGTTGAGACCACCAGAAACTGACTTTATGAGTTTCTAGAGGAGGAGATCTTTTGTGGGTCCAAGTAGTGTGACTGAAAGCAGCTCCCACCCAGGGGCACGAGAGCCTCAGCCTCCTCTCTTACAGAACATACACGACTTGATAAAAGGCTACAAAAGTTGACTTCCAGTGAAAAGTCTGGAATGACTTGTGCTTCAGATCCTTCTACCTCAAAAATAAGAAGGTTCTAGAACATCACTTCACTTTATGCCATATACTCTCCCAGAGCAGAGAGCAATACCTCCTAATTATAAGGTCTACATGCACTGTGGTAACGAACATTGCCTACAGGATCTAGCATAAATGCTTGTCAACTGAATTCCCCTCAAAGAGAGAAAAGTTAGTTCCATTACCATAAGTATGGAGGTTCCCAATGTGGGGGTGAGGCATTTTGCTTGTCACAATGGCAGGGCATGGGGAAGGTAGCTGGCATTTAAGGAGTAGGAGCCTGGGACACTAGATGTCCAACACTGCATGGGCCGGTCTCACACAATGAAAGGTGGTACTACTCAAGCACGAGGGTTCTACTTTCTCTACATTCTCACTAACACTTGCTACTTTCTGTTTTTTTTAGTAACAGCCATCCTAGTGGGAGTGAAGTGGTATCTCATTGCGGTTTTGATTTGTATTCCCCTACTGACTAAATGACATTGAACATCTTTCCATGTGCTTGTTGGTCACTTCTATATTTTCTTTACAAAAAAAAAAAAAAAAAATGTGTACTTGAATCCTTTGCCATATCCTTGTACATTGCAGGTAGAAATGTAAAATGGCATGAATACTGTGGAAAGCAAGTTGGCAATTCTTCTAAACATTAAATACAGAACTACCATATAACCCAGAAATTCCACACCGAGGTACATTCCTAAGAGACCTGAAAACAGGAACTGTACCCGATAACAGTATACCAATGTTTGCTTTATTCCCAATACCCAAAAGGTGGAAACAACACTACTGTACATTCATCATCAGGTGAGTGGATAAACAAAATGTGGTCCATACATACAATGGAGTATTCCTCGGCCATAGACAGAAATGAAATGCTGACACATGATGTGAGTGAAGTAAGTCAGGCACAAAAGGATAAATACTGTACTGTCCCAACAACTGGTGTATGAAATCTCTAGAACCCGCGAATGTACAGGGTTGGGGAAGGGGCCAATGGGAGCTACTGCAGAAACTGAAAAACTGTGGGAAATGGATAGCGGCGCTGGTTGCACAACACTGCGAATGTACCTCATGTCACACTCAATTCCAACTGTACACTTAGATATGGTAAAAATGGCAAACTTTCTGTTGGATCTATTTTACCACAACAGAGCCTTAAAAGTCTTATTTGTTTAGTATAATACTTTGTATAGAAATAGGTATAAAATTGATAGAGGATATATAACAGAAATAGGAACATAAACATCCAAATTTCTAACCCTAAAGCACCCATTTAGCTAGTTAGCTAGTTAGCTAAATGGGTGCTTTAGGGTTAGAAATTTGGATGTTTATGTTCCTATTCAGTGTGATTGTACTGATTTATAGAAGGAATTTTTTGAGACAGAGAGACAACTGGAAGGCTGCTGCTTAAGTGCCTCTCCAAGAGATGGGATCACAGAAATGCAGTCGACACCAGCACTACACTATTCTGTAAAGCTATTTCCATGTAAACGTTCAGCTCAAGACGGCAACCCCCATTACCTGCTCCAGCTCATAGGCCTTGGCCTTGTCCTCGTCACGGTCAGCATTCTTGCGGTAGGCCATTCCCAGGCCCCACACAGCCAGGATACTGTAGATGTTGTCCCGTACCCAGGCATCCTTCTGCTCATGGCTGGCTGACAGCAGCCCCGTGACAGGATTCTACCAGAGAAGGACACAAAATGACTGGACATCATGCTGCCCACAGCCCCTGTGCAGTGAATGCTCACCCTAAGAGGGCAGAACAAGGAATCAGGAGACCTGGGTTCCAGTCCTTGCTTGCCACTAACAGTGTGATCTTGGGAGAGAGAGAGGTCACATAACTTCTCTGGACATCAGTTTCCTCACCTGTATAATAACAAGGGTATCAGACTCAAAAATCTCTAAGGAACTGGCTACTCTTATGATCTGATTTTTTCACTCTCAGATGAATCATACTGTTGCAGGTTACAAAAAAGAAGAAACAGTAAACAGAAAAAGCTTGCAAGGTGCTCACTTATCTATGCATTGAAGACTTTAGTCTTCTTGGGTCTTTGTGTTTCTGCACCAACTGGTAAAGCATTGACCTTGGGGGCACAAGATCTAGACCTTGGGTCCTACCCCATCACCTGGGCTACTAGGTCAGGGAAGGCACTTAACCAAGAGGACATCTGGGATCCTGTTGACCTATGATATCATCAGCACTTGAAAAGGCTACTGAGTCATCAAAAGTCAGTTCTACAGACAAAAACTTGTACACGAATGTTCACGGCAGCCAAAAAGCAGAAATAACCCAAATGTGTGTCAACTGAAGAATGAATAAACAAATTGTGCTAAACTCCTCCAATGGGCTATATTGTTTGGCCATAAAAAGGAATGAAGTCCTGATACACGCCACACGTGGAGGAACCTTGAAAACATTGGGCTGAGTGAAAGAGGCCACACATACCGCACAATCCCACTTACAGAAAACATTCAGAACAGGCAAACACAGAGACAGGGAGCAGATTAGTGGCTACCAGAAGGTGGGGGAGGGGAGAGGGGAGAGGGCATGCTTAATGTGCACAGGGGTTCCCTTTAGGAGGATAAAAACATTCCAGAGCTAAATAGAGGTGGTGAAAACAACACTGTGTATGTACTGAATGCCAAATGGGTGAATTGCATGGTATGTGAATTTTATGTCCATAAAGCTATTATTTTTAAATGTCACCGTAGGATCAAAACTGGACTGCTAACTGCAAGGTTGGCAGTTCCAAACCACCAGCCGCTCCTTGGAAATTCTCTTCAGGGTCACTATGACACAGAATCAACTTGACAACACTTAATGACGACGACAAATATCAGAAAAGCACCAGTCACTCTCAGAAACCCTACACATCCTTGTCAGCTTCAAAAAATATTGCTCAAAGGACATATTATTTATAAAAGGACTCACGCTGATGACCTGAAAGCAGCAGTCAAGAAATCAATGACATACTGCATTAGGCAAATCTGTTACACAATACCTCTTTACAGTGTTCAAGAGCAAAGATGCTAGTTTGAGGACTAAGATGCACGTGACCCAAGCCATGGAATTTTCAGTAACCTCATATGCATGTGAAAGTTGAACCATGAATAAAGAAGACAGTAGAAGCATTGATGCATTTGAATTATGGTGCTGAATACTCAAAGTCCCATGGACTGCCAGAAGAACAAAGAACTCTTGTCTTGGAAGATGGGTAGCCAGAATGCTCCTTAGAAGTTAGGATGGTGAGACTTCGTCTGATACTGTGGACATGTTATCAGGAAGGACCAGTCCCTGGAGAGGGACATTATGCTTGGTAAAGTGGAAGGTCAGTGAACAAGAGGAAGGACCCCTCACCCAATGAGATGGATTGACATTGTGGCAGCAGCAATGGGCTCAAGCGTAACAACAATTCTGAGGATGGCGCATGAACAAGCCGTATTTCGTTCTGTTGCACATAGGGTCACTATGAGTCAGAACCGACTTGACAGCACTTAACAACAACTACCAGAGTTATTAGGTTAAAAAAACAAAACAAAAACTGGGCATAGTTTCAAATGACCCCATCTAAGGAACTACACACTTCACTTTCTCCTTTAATAAATCTACGAAAAGATCTAAACTCAATTAATATCGCTCTCAGGGCTAACAACATTCATTGTACCGACATAGTTCTGTGCAGTCAACAACTATAAATCAACCAGAATGGAAGTCTAGGAAATGGCTGAGAGAAGTTATAAGTCGTCTTCAAATAGTGGGTTACTGATGCTCTTTGTTAAAGACAATACTCACCAACAACGTACACTGAAAACATCTTTACCTGTTCTAAGGCCTGTTGGGTAACGCTAGGATAGGATATCACCAGGAGACTCAGATTAAGACTCAAAGCCCCTTCCTGGCATTCCTGAGTCCGTGGAAACCAACAGCCTTCTGATGACACAGCAGTGTGGTTTGGATTATGAAATGCCACTGTCGTGTTAACTGAAAGCCACATCATTTCTCATTTACTTTGGGCTTAACTGCTAAAGTGGATGCCTTGTTAGCCACCCAAAGCTACACTGTGCCCATCCTTCCTCCCACTCCCCCAACACACGCACCCTGTTCCACTATAGGGAGGCAGCTAGGGTGTTTCTATATGGTTGCTCTGGTCAGAGCTACCTCTCACCTGACTCATTTTTCCAGAATGCCCCCAACCCTTTGCTAGCAGCAAGGATGTGTTTGGAAAGATCTCCACATCCAAGTCTAAGTATACATGAGTCATGTTAAATTGGGATGCTACTGCATTCAGCAAAAGAAATACTTACTTTATGATTTGTTTCCCTTTAAGTCTAAAAAAACAATGCAGGGTGTTGGAAGATATGGGTGGTTCCATTTTGATGTGATTTATAGAAATGAAAGTTATTGCAGATCAAGAGAAACCTTAGTCTGCGGTCCCTTTTTACAATCCAGTGGTTTTGTCAGTCTGATGGGTATGTAGTGCTATCTCATTGCTACCTTTGCCAGAGACTCAGCTTCAAAAGTAAAGAGAACTCCAAGCACTCAGGAGACAGGAAAACAGGACAGAAAAGAAAAACAGTATTGTCAAGCCTATTCAGACTCATGGTGTGATAGTTAAGGTTTTATGTTAACTTGACTAGGCCAGGATTTTTAGTGATTTGGAAGTTGAGAGGTGGCTATCCCCATAGTGAGATCTAATATAGTGTAGTTAACTCTATGTGACTGGCTGTGAACATTGTTGTTAACTCTATGGTGATTGGCTATGAGCAGCGAAACAACTGAAAGGATATTTCCCCAGGGGTGTGGCCTTCTTCCAATATAATGGACACTCAAGCAAAGCTTGCTTGCTTTCTGCTGGGTCTGGATCTTGCATCTGAGTTATTATCCAATCTATGGTTCTTTGGACTTGAACCAGTGGCCTGCTATTAATGTCTTTTTGCAGTCGGACCTGTGAGGTTGGCCCAGGATCGGGCAATGTTTCATTCTACTGTGCATCAGGTTGCTATGAGTTGGTACCAACTTGATGGCACCTAACAACATACACACACACATATATGGTGGTGGTGGCTGTGTGCCATGGAGTCAGTTCCAACTCATAGTGGCCCTGCATAGGGTTTCCGGGGCTGTAAATCTTTACTGGAGCAGGAAGCCTCATCTTTCTCCTGCAGAACAGCTGGTAGTTTTGAACCGCTGACTTTGAGGTTAGTAGCCCAACTCATAACCACTTGCTACCAGAGCTCATATATATATATATATGAATACATATACATACATATATATACTTACATATACATATATATACTTACATATACATACATACAAGGAACTCTGGTAGCGTAGTGGTTACGAATCGGGCTGCGAACCTTAAGGTCAGCGGTTCGAAACTACCAGCCGCTCCGCGGGAGAAAGATGAGGCTTTCTACTCCTGTAAAGATTTACACCCTTGGAAACCCTGTACAGGGTCGCTATGGGTCGGACCCGACTCGATGGCACTTAACAACAACAACAATACATACATACATAGATAAGTTTCACTGCTCTTGCTTCTCTAGAGAACCCAGCCTAAGACACATGGCAACCCCTTGTGTCAGAGCAGAAGGGTGCTTGATAGGGTTTTCAGTGGCTAGGTTTTCAATAGTAGACTGCCTTTCTTTCAAGGTGCTCCTGGGTGGACTAGAATCACCAACCAAATACATAAACTATTTGAACCATCTTAGCAATACTAACTCTTCCAATCCAGATGTCTTTCTGGTATAGTCTTCAGCACTGTTCCCATCCTTTAACTTTCCTAAGAGCAAAGTCTGTTCTTTACTACTCTAACTCAAAGTCCTGGCCTAGTGAGGTGCTCGGGAAATAAATGAATAAACATATAATAAAGGTTGTATTTTTCCTGATTTATAGTCTAAAATATCTCCTAAAAATAATTTAAAAATGGAGATAGTATCTATTTAAATATATTTGTATTTTACAGAGATAATACAAGCAATATGCCTTTTAAATGTGCTTTTTATTATTATTAAACCCATGTCCCTGTCTATTCTTTCTTCAGGAAGCCCTGAAGAAGCAAGGCAGGCATGCCCAATGTGAACCAGGGCAATGATTCTCGCAGAAGGTAGAGCCCTCATTTTTTTATTTCAAAGGAGCTGTTGTTGTTAAGTGCCATTGAGTTGGTTCCGACTCATAGCGACCCTGTATAGGGTTTCCAAGTAGTGGCTGGTGAGTTTGAACTGCCAACCTTGCAGGTCAAACTGACCTTCAGTCCAGCGCATTATCCTGCAGCACCACACAGAGGGAGCCCAACAGGAGAGCTGTTCCAAGCAGAGAAAGCAACTTTTTGCTTGGCTCGGAGACAAGAGATGAGTGAATTATTGCTGCCCAGCTCAGAATCTCCAGTGTGGACAAAACAGACTCAAGATTTCCTAAATTGCTACATGAGACCCATCACAGGCTAACTCTTCCTCCCACATCCAAACTAATCACCTGACACTCCCTAGTCAGAGAGCCCTCCAGATAATACCAACTAACAACATTGGCCCCAGGTGGTCAGTTCTTGGCGCTCTGCAGGACAGAGGTCAGAGGTTTGTCTCACCCCACCTTCATCCTTTTTCTCCTTTGGATTAAGAATAGCTAAATGCATGGCACTGCCTTATTGCTCCGTTCTGAGGGAGGAGAGTATAGTTAT